TTTCATATAGCTCTAAATTTTGTGTCGTGGTTGGTGAGTGAGCGGTGAGCGTACCAGTCACGTGGCAGGTTCGTAAAATACGACAAATACGTCGAGTTTTTCCGACAAGCACTTTCATAATTCATACCGGGTTTTCGTCGAGGAAATGCAAAGAAATATCAATTATTCGCCGAAAATGTACATAATTGAGCGCCTTAGAAAAATAAATCGAGGTAGGTAAAGCTTTGTTGTTTTTAACTTGCCGTATATTCTGTTATTTGTTGTGATTTTGGGGTGCTCGCGCGCACTGATTATTGATCAATTATCAGGCTTTTATTTATGTATCGCGAAAGCCTCAAAGCCATATGCTCAAAGCCCACGCTATCAAAATACTCGATTTTTACATACTCAAACTGAAAGGAGCCATTGTGCTCGCACTATTTATATTCTGTGCAAAGCTTTAAAACTACAGCACATTTTGAAATATAAATATCAAACAAAATTTGAATTAAAATAGTAATACTATTGAAATTTAATACAACGAAATAGCAACCATTGTGAAGTACGCATAAGATTCAACATGACATTCAACATGACATTCGATATACCGTAAACCTCCAACTATAAGCCCTGGGCTAATATATTTTCGTCAGCGATTTTTGATGAGCTTATACAAGGGGGAGGGCTTATATATGGGGGGGGGAGGCTTATACAAGGACGATCTTTTGTGTTAGTAACTAATAAATCAGACGTAAACAAGTTAGTCATAAACAGGAAAATAAACGTGTATTAATTATAACTCGCTTTGATTAACATAGTAAGATATAAAGACAATGACAATGTTTTTAAATATCATTCTCTGATATAAAAGGCAATGTCAATGTTGAATAATGTAGTGGGCTACTGGGCTTATATTCGGGGGGGGGGCTTATATTTGGGTCTGCTTGTATTCGGGAGGGGCTAATATTCTGAGGTTTACAGTAGTGTAAATTAACTCATTTCAATCACTCCAATTCCAAAATGAAAAATACAGCCATTTCTTCTCTCCCAAATGAATTAGAAAAAAACGTAAGGTCATATTAACGAACTAGTACCTTTATTCTTTTTCAGCTTCGACAATTTCAATCATAGCTTAATAAGCATTTTCAATCTATTATAGTAATTCACCGTTTCCACTGGTTTTTTAAACCTTTAAAAAATTACAATAAAGCTAAATCTATAGCAGTATTGGAAAAAACGTTATTTAATTATACTATTTGTAAAGGAAATCTAACAGTCAATTGCTTTTGATAAAACCTTGACCCACCTTGACCTTGTTATTACCGTCGCTCGCAACTAAACATTAACAGTCACTGATAAAAACATTGCCTATTCGCGTGAGAATCTTAAGTTTTCTTATTTTGACATAATAGCTATTTTTCAATAAATATATCGATATTAAACTTATTGAATCAATATTCTAAGTTTCACACCAGTTGTACCAGAGGTTATAAGCGCTATAGCGCATCATAAGTTACAGATGGCATGCAACATGTACGCATTGCGTACCTATTTTTTGTGTTGGTGTAATGTACTCAGGTGAATATGATGCTTGTGATGTTACTCTGAGTGTATATCCACACCGGGCAAGCTTGAAAAATATGCCTGACCACGGTGGGAATCGAACCTACGACCTTTGGAATACTAGCCCAATGCTCTGCCAACTGAGCTACGCAGTCTGGTCGGTTCGAGTATGTGATATTTCGGAACAGAATCTAGTTCCTTCGATATCAATGTTATCTAATAATAATCATGTTTTTTCTGTGTTGGTGTAATGTACTCAGGTGAATATGATGCTTGTGATGTTACTTTAGTGTATATCCACACCGGGCAAGCTTGAAAAATATGCCTGACCACGATGGGAATCGAAGCTACGACCTTTGGAACACTAGCCCAATGCTCTGCCAACTGAGCTACGTGGTCTGGTCGGTTCGAGTACGTGATATTTCGGAACAGAATCTAGGAAAAATCGGAACAGAAAAAGCGGAACAGAAAAATTTAGGAAAATCGGAACAGAAAAATCGAAACAGAAAAAAACGGAACAGCAAAAACAAGAGGTCCGGTCATTATTTATGGTGGGGGGTGGCACCGAAGAGAAATGTTTTTCGTGGCAAAAATTTTGCTGACCCGACCATTAAAAAGTAAAAAATTTGATTACCCAACCTCAAATATCAATTAAAAAATAAATACCCACCCCTGGCCAAAAATTTTACAAAAAGGTACCACTCAGTTGTCACACATGTCCCTTGCCACTTCTGTGACATGAGTTTGATAACAGATTGTGAATTTTTTTGCAGACCAAAATTTCATGTTGTCTGCACATGTACTTTCTTTGGAGACACCATTTGTCTCCCAACAAATTGAAAACCAGTGATCAAGATAGTGACTCCGATTGATTCACATATTGTATTGACATATGACTGTTGACATTGCTTTTTAGTCTCCAATATTTCAGTGAGTCATGCTTTGGAAATTATTATTTCCCAACCCTTGAGTTGTTTTGTTTTTCATTTACCCAACCTTTTACTCACTCAAAATTTTGTTTACCCAACCCTTTTCTCTTCGGTGCCACCCCCCACCATAAATAATGACCGGTCCCTTAGATAACATTGATATCGAAGGAACTAGATTCTGTTCCGAAATATCACATACTCGAACCGACCAGACCGCGTAGCTCAGTTGGCAGAGCATTGGGCTAGTATTCCAAAGGTCGTAGGTTCGATTCCCACCGTGGTCAGGCATATTTTTCAAGCTTGCCCGGTGTGGATATACACTCAGAGCAACATCACAAGCATCAAACTTTGAGCTTGCAATAAAATTATTTCAAATTCTCGCTTGCAAATAACTTTGCTTTTTTTTATTTAAAAAATTCAATATCATATAAAAAAGGGAATCAATATTAAAGATACACTGAAATTATATGCTGTCTTGTTTAGTTGTTTGATATACGCAAAGGCCGTTGGGTTTTAAAGCATTATAAAATCGATATTTAAAACAAACTTACCTTCGTTAACGTCGGCTCCCTTCTTTTAGCCGATTCTTTCGCCCTTTCTTTAAATTTACAACATCTTGCAAAAATGCGAGCAAAAATGAAATATATTTCAGGGCCGTAGGAAGCTCTTTTCGATTGGGGGGGCTGAAAGCGAGGGCCGAAGGCCCGAGGAAATTTTTAAATTTAGAGTCTCTAAAATGCCATTTCCTGGACTTTGGGGGAAGATTTAACAGAATTCTGATAGTCAGAAAACAGCGTTTTAGTATGTCGAAATTTACAGGAAAGTATGGGCCAGACTGTAGTATTATAAATGCGCGGCGGGAATTTTCGTCGTAAATGGCAGTTGCGCGGAAATGAAGGCAGAACATTTGAGAAAATTTCGAAAATCTGGAGTCTCTAGATGGTCTGAAATGGCATTTTCAGAGTTTTCTTTCGCAAGACCCAACACGCAAAAGACAAAATAAATCATTAGTTCATCAAAAATGTGCAGATTTTGTGGGATTTTCTTGAAAATGCGCGACAGAAATTCAGCTAAAATTTCTACGCGAGGAACGATCTGGAGTATGAGTAATATCTTCATTCTTTGCAGTTTGTCACAGATTAAATGATAAAGTTTGCATGATTTTGAAAAAAGAATGATTATTAGCAAATTATTGGGGGGGCTGCAGCCACCCCAGCCACCCCCCGGTTGCTACGGCCCTGTATTTGCAAGAAATTTATCAGTCATCAAATCAAGAAATGTTTGCTATTTCGCTGTCGTCATGCAGTCGTTATAATGCAAACTTTAAATTGGACCAATCAGTGTCCGCTATTCATGACAGTCCGCCATATTTTTGAGATCAGTGAGGATGACCACCCACCCAACACCCCAACATCGTTGGTGACCCACGCCGCGATAATTTATGAACTTTAGACAAAGATTAGACACGATAAAGATGTGCCACTCTGCGAAAATTACGTCCGAGATTTTTTTATAGCCGCCATTTTGCCAGTAAGTGTCAAATCCAACGCCATCAGTCTCTAAATAGTAAAATCCCAACGGCAATTGCTAGATAGTATACTTCAAAATAAGGTTTCCGTTTTTATATCAATTTTTAAAATAAGTTAGGGTTAGGTTAGGTTAGGGTTAGAATTAGGGTTTGGATTAGGACCGCCGGATTTGGGCCGCCGGCTTTAGGGTTAGGGGTTAGGGTGTGGGGTTAGGAGGTGGGGGTTAGATTAGAGGTTAGGATTAGGGTTTGGATTAGGATTAACGTTTGGATTAATCGTAGACCCATTACAACCCAATACTTTATTGCATATAATGGCATTACAACGCCAATAAATTATTGGTTACAACGTGCGGAACGGCTGGTTTGGTAGAGGTAGATGCCATGGACCGTGGTAATTTTGAATGTTCGATATATCTACAAATTGTTTAGATGGAACAAAATATTAAAGGCAGATCATATGAAATACATGAGTGTAAATTTAAATCAAAATTTACTTTAGCGACAAGAGTATAAGCTATTAGAGCTTGACATTGCTGTTTTAAAATTCCTAAAAAGCAAGGGCTGTCAGTATCCTGAACACTCGAAATACTAACTAAACGGGATCCTAAGATAGCACATTGGCTTCCATTTCACGCTTTTATGGAGTCTGATCAAAATATCAGCACAGTAAAACCACACAAGGAGTCGTGCAATATGCATGCAAAACAAATTTGTTGCTGTTGTCAGGGCCGCCGAGAGAATTCACGGGGCCCGGAGCAAATCTTCCCTGGGGGCCCCACGACATCATATTTTTAAACTAGGCCCAACTAGACCTTAGCTACACTGCATGTGGAGGTACTGTAAGGGGTCCTCAATTAAAGAACCTACTCAATTTTAGGTTCTCACTCTCAAGTTGGGAACCTATTAAGGTGCTGGCCAGGGGCAATCCCCCCCCCCCCCAACCAGCACTCTGCTGAACCCGCAAGTGTACAAATTGCTTGACATGCATAAGTAACTTTTATGCATAAAGAAACTGTTTAAGAAGCTGCTTTAAATTCCCAAGAGCAGAAAATCGTGCGCTTTAGAAAGATATTTTAATTTGTTAATAAGTCAATATTTATAATATTTTACGCATCTTTGCGTTCAGCTTAGTGCTAAGGCATTCAAATTCTAACAATACGTTATTTCAATAGTTTGGTTTTAGTTTGGGACACCCTGTATATAGCGGTTCTTTTGAAAGTATTTCTAGGTAATGAATATTTCATATTTTCCTGTTGATGTTTGCGGTAGCTCCCTCAACGGAATTGGTTCATTTGAACAGCTCTCCTTATTCACAATCGTCTACACAACAAGTTATGTATGAAATTCAAAACGTTATATTTCGAAGGATATTAAACCTTTCGTAACAGTTATACTTATAGTTTTGTAACTATATAGTTGTAGCTACTCGTGATAAAAGTCTCAGCTGAAGCAAAATAGTTATGTCAATTTAGGCCTGTTTCAAACGTTGCATTTCAGCTGATTATCTATTGTTTTTATGCGTTCGGAACATGAGAAGCACGACGTTTGAAACAGGCCTAAGTGTGTACTTTCGTAATTAGCACTTCCTATTTGTGTGTTTGTGCTGGAACAGCCATCATGCAATAAGCCAAAAATGTGGTAAACTATCGAGAGAAAAGTTACTTAAAAAACGTTAATAAGGCTTACATTGACAATTAAACGCTAGTTGCTCATCTGTAGCATGCATGGCATCGTCATATTATAATTGCATCGTATTTCGATCTTCGGTTTCGCTTCACCTTAGCTGGCGCCGGCAGGCAGGCTATAAAGAGTCGCACGACCGAGTACGCGGGAGAAGACGTCTTCCCGTTACTCACGCGCTAACTTCTTCTAGCAGGCAACAACTATAACCTACATTATAAAAAATAGGGACGCTGTAGCGTTCATGGCGTCTACTGGATCAAAAACAAGGAATGTCAATGCCGTCCGGTTTAAATTCACAATTCGGACTTTGGAGTGGGGAAGATTAAGATATCTCGGCAGGTATTTACCACGACCCCCCTTTAAAACGAAAATCACCGTTGAAATCCTCATAAAATAACCTTTCGAACGGGGGGTCAAATGCCGTCATAACATTACACGTGCACAAATTAAACCAAACCAATCGTATATTTACTCACCGCTTGGCCAAACATTCTGTATTTCATATCGAGAAAAAGTTGAATATCTTCTAAACTCTTCAGAATTCGCCTCAAGCCAATGGGAGTGAAATACTCCTTGTATTCAAGCGCTTTCGTGTAGAAAGTTTCGTTTGAATACGGTGACTAGAAATATTTATTTTGAATTTTTCAAAATATCGGGCTTTTCACTCACATGGACGTGCAAATCACGCTACAGGGGTAATTTGAAAAAATAAACAAAAAAGAAACAAAAGCATAGCATTGTTTTATAAATCTAAAAAAAACTATATGATACTTGTAATGAACCGCGCTCGGAAAAAAAATTACACAGATTCGTCTCGGAACATGGCTCAGACAAAAGAAAACTTTTTAAAGCTGCCAAGACTCTCTTTTAAGAGAAAAATGATCTTAATATTCCTGCATATGATGATCCGAATATGTTAGCCAATGATGTTGGAGAATTTTTTGTTCAGAAAATTAAATTGAAAATATTCGAACTGAATTTGACTTATCAGCTTTAAATTCGCACAATCCTA